ATTTTAATGTCAATACAGCAATGCATTCAATTCAGTTTTTATTCATCAATTACCCAAATAATGGTCATAGAAGAATGTATAGATGGTAATGTTAGGCAGGTTTGCCTTCTGTATACTTTTGCCACTTGAAGAGTTGTTTGTGATTTGAAGTAGTAGTACTAGTAGTAGTGAAATAAACTGAATTGATAATTACTGATTGGGAAAACGTATGGGATGCTTTCAACAGCAGGAGAAACAAGGCTTCCTTAAAGAGTGGCGATGCGGCCAAAGTAATCAAACAATATAAATTTGCAGGAATTTTTGACATTTCTTACGCCATATTTACAACAGATGGAGTAAGTTCAAGCTAATTTGAAACCAATTAATCAATCCATCTATCAATCAATCCAATTTTAAATGTACATTTCCAATTGGTACATTCAAAGTGCTTTGCTTGTAAAGAGTAAAATACATTTGAACTAACCACAAATATACACTGTTCAGTTTAATAGGACTATTTCAGTAACACACAATTATCAAAAAGGGTAAATTATGTATTAATTTATTTCAGTATAAAAAGAAAACATTAATATACAATACGTAGTACATATGCCAAAATCATTACATGCTCAACAATGGCATTAACAATAACAAGAAGCAAACATCAAGAATTGCATCACATATGTCTCAATAGGAAAATAAAACAAGAATTGGATATGTTACAGCAAATGGACAAAATATGAGAATTAATGTCTATATCCATTGTATTCGTTGTTCCATACAGGACTCCAAGAAACCTCAGAAAAGATAGTATAATACATACTCCAAGTATGTGGACCATTTGTGGGCACCGTTATCCAAAAAACTTGTGCCTGTAACACTGCCAATTACGCTAGAAGGAGAACCAGGCCCACCCTGGGACCAAACAGGACATAACGAGGAAGAAAAGGACGCTAAATATAGGGTTATTTTCGACAATGCTATCAACGAACTGAATGCATACTGGTATATTTCGCATGATGGACACACGTTGAATTCTGTCAAAGTCCCATGTATGGAATCGGGAAATTCAAAGAAATATTCAGACCATGACACGAATGCTGAATATTGTAAATCTGGCATACGAAACATTCTCAGCAAACCAGCACTGAACTGCATTAATAACGAATACATTTTTTTAATTAAATATGTACACACTAGTAAACATCCAGTAAGACAGACAACGTTTATAAAGCACATCAGTATTATAAAGTGTCAAAATCGGCTATTCACACGAAATCCAAGCAAGTAAAATAACGGACAGTATTTCGCATTGATGGAATTGAAAACCTGGCTATCTGACTTACATGAGCCAATGATAGGTGAGTGAAATATTTAACATTCATTTGAATTTGAAATATAGTATATGCCTCATCTGGTTATTCCACTTGTACAGTACATAATATTCATATGCACCGGTACGTCCATATATTATTCTTCATCGTAGGCCAACAATAAACAAATAAAACAACTTCATATTTGAAGGCTTTTGCCCAGTTAGTATCCAATTTTTTAATGAACATTTTAATGCAGTATACATGTTTTCCACGTTGTAATAATATTCAAAATTCCTTTTACTAGGAATAGACAACGAATGCTCTTCTGCGGTAAATGAATCTGCCTGAATATAAGTGCAAACGAGGTTGCAGATATGTTCTCACGTCGAAATCGGATGCTGTTCGCACAATCTGATTGTCCATCATGGCCAGCAAAGAGGAACCAAGAGAAAGGAATAGACAACAAATGCTCTTCTGCGGTAAATGAATCTGCCTTAATGTAAGTGCAAACGAGGTTGCAGATATGTTCTCACATTGAAATCGGATGCTGCTCGCACAATCTGATTGTCCATCATGGCCAGCGAAGAGGAACCAAGAGAAAGGCTAATGAGCATTGGTCCCATGTTGGTCCCATGTAAGTTAACAGCTTACTTTAAAATTAATTGAATTATAAATCAAATATCAAATTTAACTTTTAATTGTTTTAGCTCATGACAGACATACTTTCCATGTAGGCCTATACTCTATGTTTACATGAGATTGTTTTATCTGATGATACATTACTTGAATAATACACCAAAAAAAGCAACACAAGCTGTAAAATACATTTTAAATAAAGTTTGCATCTGCATGTGGTATGTGTAGGTATTGAATTCTCAAAATGAATGTTGGGCCTAATATTTATTGCAATAAACAATAATTGGCAACTGGACAATTTTACTAACTGAAGAATTACGCAACATATCAAACATTGTATTTGATGGGCATTCTCATTGGTTCTTGCATGTTAACAAGGCGGGATCTTCAAATTTGAATTGTACAACATTTGGAATTAATTGATTTGAAAGTTAGAATCTCACAATGTTTCGTATAGGCAAACACGTTCATGCAATCGTCCATACTTGGATGCAACTATTCGAGAAGACAACAACAGTGCTCGTAAAATGGATAGACTATGACTGGGTTGACAGGCTGAATGTAGAGAGGTTACTCTAAAGCGAAAATGCAGTTTTGACAAGACATATTTTCCCACTACAAAAGACCCACAGCAGGCGCGGATCCAAGGGATGGGGGGGGGGGGAGACTGACAAATTCAGGTGACCGGTAAGTTATAAACAGTTTATTTCATTGATAAATTGTATCTCCTCAACAGGTTTAAATTCAATTCAATTTAAATTTGAATGCAACATATATTTCTCTTATTTAGGCCTATGCTTTTTCGTACAGTATGTTTAACCTTAAAATGGACAAAAAAAATTACATGAAATTAATTGTAAACCTAGTTAAGCTTTGTAGTAGGAGGAAAAACGTATCCTTTATCTGCGTCTCAACACCGGAAATTGTATGCATTCGTTCTGTGGCAACGATTGTACTAAAGCTTTGGTGAATGGCTATAGCTTCCAATGCCGAATTTACAAAGAAAACAAGTTATTTGCTGTCCACCAGTTACATTTAAGTCAATACGCATACTTATTATACTGTTAATTATTTATTAGTCATTTAAAAAATCAAATACTGTATACGAAAAACATACAATACCAGACACAGTATGTTCCATACAGTACATCGTCGCCAAACTTTTTTTCCGGCTGCGATGTATTATTTTAACATACCAGTTATAAATCTATTTCAAATACATTTAAACAATTTTTTAATCTTCTTACAAACTTATTAGGCCTACCCATTACATATTTTTTGTTATGTAATCTTTTGAAATTTGTTACACAAGGGCCCATAAAAAAGTAAACACGTCAAATATATTTTACGTATACTGTACTTTACACATATTTAATACTGATCAAACTATATGCCCAATAAAATAAATTATTAAGTTTATTAATTGATTTTTTTTTATATTTAGGGAGGATTTTGTTTGTGTTTGTTCAGTAATATATTTTAATGATACTTTTCATATTTAGACACTGGTGTGAAAGGAAATGCTGCCAAATATAAGAAATTATTTGCCGAAATGGAATATGCGCCAGGAGTAAAATGTGAGATATGAGCAGATGACCATGCAATTGAAGGCCATGCAAGGGTCTTGACAACCAGATACAGTTCATAACACAGAGTCGCAACGATCTTCCTGATTTAGAGCTGTTTAATCAAAAACACCGACGACAGAGGGATGATGACCCTCGCTGAAGAAAACGAGCAAGCTGTGAAAATACAAGTAACAAAATATAATTGTGTGCTGCCGAAAAAATAAGACCCCAGCGCTGCATGTAAATGCATTGATGCCAGAGGTTTTCACTAAATTGGAGATGGCCGTGTCAAAGTAGCAAATAAAGAACCTCCAATTAGGTTAAATGCTATCTTGCCGCAGGTACAAGACCAATACAAACAGTCAGGCATTATAACTCCTGAAAAGGTCATTAGAACTGCTGTAAATGGAAAGACAGGTACTACACATTCTTAAACAAACATGCTGAGTAATATAAATGATAAGATTGCCAATAATTAGTTCTTAATAAATGTATATCCTTGTGTTTCCCGCATCGTGAATTTATATGTATAAATAAATGTAAAAACTTTAAACTATATATATATAATTATTTATATGCATATAATAGGGACTGTTTCATTTATTCTATAAAAATTTAGGAATATGTATATGTGTATGATGATGATGGTGATGATGGACTCTCCAGTTGTTTTACACTTATGACAATTTGGTAACGAGCTGTGGCGTCGAGAGGGGGGTCAGGGGGGTCGCTGCCCCAGGGCCCGGGTCTACTGGGGGCCCGGACCAAGATGAAAAATTGTTGAGGTAAGAACAAAATCTCCATAGGGCCCGAGCCCAAGCCAGGATGAAAAATTTTGTTGTCAGAACAAACTCTACATTATGGTTTTATGGGCGTCTTTATCAGTCTTTCTGTATTTTTATTACTAGATGAATAATCCCCCAGGGGAACAGTCCACCCAATGCTCTCCCGTTCCAAACCAGATGCAAAGTGGTATACGTGTATTATATATATAACTATTATCGTTTATTCATCAGATTATTCTGATACATCTACATTGCAAAAAAATAATCACATGGAATCATATTCATGTATGTGGGTTTGGACAAATAGGGTCTTAGGAGGAGACTTAATTTGGGGAGTGGCCGAGTGGGGGTCCCAAGTGAAAGGGGGGGCCCCATGTGAGGTGTTGCCCCGGGGCCCTTACTGGCTCTCGACGCCACTGGTAACGAGGACAAGACAGAATTGAAAAACAACGTACACAGAACAAACACAAACAAACACAAGATTAATTTTTCTAATTTCTCACCAAGAACATTTAATGTTGATTAGCACTTTAAATGCTTTCTAAAATGGGATACGTGGCCAGCTTTAAACTTGTACTGAAACACATTCTCATTACCACTACATCTTAATATTTTTTGCGGGGACAGTCTGGCTTATCCTCATTTCATTTATTGGAAAATAAATAAGATTGTTTACCTTTCAATGAAGGAAGCACTATCTGTAATAATGTGAACCTGGTGGTATCTAGGCCTCCAGCCTAGGAGGGACAAGATAACACTGAGTGAACATGGGCCGATTGGGCCGTCACGGTCTAGAATCTCTGTATTCTCTAGTAGAATCTTCTGAAAGCTCTGCGACATTTTTGAGACAAAAATGATTCATTTTTAATATGTAGGGCCTAAATCCTCAATTCTTATGACAACTTCAAAACCCTAGGTACCCTTTCTGTGTCATTGATTGCAGGCATTCCTCACACAAAATAGGCTAGGCCTTTAGTCGGCCTAATGTTTGCTGTTCGTAGTTACTGGTCTTGAAATCCAGAAATCTCATCTCGCACAACTAAACTAAAATCATGATGGCTCTGGGCAGAGTCTTTAAATATGTCAGGTATTTATAGACTAGACTAGTCCATATTTATATTGTAAGCAGACAAAGTGCAACAGGCCCACGTGGCTGGTGGTTATCAGATCTTTATGCAAAAATAATCACCCCAAAAAATGATTCCAACATCGATCAAAAGAATACACGGTAGTAGACATGACTTTTTCCGTCTAATTTTCCAGACATGGGTTGGAAGAGTGTAATTGTCGAATGATTGGGCTGTAGATAAATTAATTATTAAAAAATAGGGTGCTTTAATTCTAGAGAAAAGCATCTAGGCCTAGTGTCGTATATCAACGAGGAATTTATCCATGTTTGAAAGAATCAGAGGCAGACGGTACACCAAATTCAAATCACATCAAATTCCCACATTAGTAGGCTTGCAAAATTGTTTTCAGTAGTAATTTTTAATTTCATGACGGTGTCCAAAATCGCATTGTCGGCTGCACCGATATGCGTAAGTGATTGCATTAATTGCGTAAGTAGCTTTTAAGGTCTCAGCGGGAGTTCCGCATTAGGTTAACACACCTTATCTGGTTAACCTACAGTGGGATCGTTGCGATCAACCATAGAAGGCTGCACACACAATTGATCACCTTAAAATTAAACATTTGTGCAAGCTCCCTTATAAGAAAACGTTTTTTTTTTCAAACCATCCAAATAAATCTGGGAGTGTTACACCACTTGACATCATTCCCATTTTGGGCATCTCATGAGCTTGTCTTTGGAAGCCGATATATCCCGCCAGCGTAGATTAGTTGCTGATCTCGAACTTTGCGGTCAAGAAAGACTCGCAGTTCTTGTTCACTGCATTCTGATGACGTTGGGCCTTGCATTGCAAACATCTTCAACATAGAGTGGATCCTTTCTAGAGGCAAACTTTCTAGGTTAGTCAACATTCCAACTATGTAAGTCCAGAACATCTGAAGACAAACAAAAATAATATCCATATTAAAAAAGGAGGTATTGGAACTCAGACCTCAAGGTTAAAAACCATACCATTCCTGCTACCCCAAATTTACTTCCAAATATAATAATACAGTTTCCAGCTTAACACTCTGCCCACCAAACACAGAGATCTGTGTTTGGTAACACAAAGCATGATCGCCAAACACGGAGAACTCCGTGTTTCAGGATTCTTTTACGGAATCCGATAGATGGTGTAATTAACGACATGAGCTAACAATTTGAACACTACTGTATATTCAGTCTCGACCGTAAGTATTTCACCATTTGTTTGTTTACATTGAACGTAGCGGTATTGATGTACTTTCACGAAATCTATCTTGTTATTAAGATCTTTGATCTACTAATCAAAACATAGTGGCCTTTGTATCGAATTGTTCAATACAGCACTTTTTGTGATGATTCATCAGTAGTGACCAATTTACATAGCAGCAACAGATGATGCAGAGGCCAACTTGCTAATTATTTCTAGTTTTGAAGGTTTAGATTCAGATTCACTAAACTTAAAAACACAAATAAACTTAATTTACAAATTAAAAATAGCATGTACCTGGAGTTCCTCTTCCTTTTGATCTTGAGCCGATGCCATGGCAGATTCAATCTCCTCATCACTGTCAATCATTAAAACATCTTCCCCTCCATGATGGCCTTGCTGCTCTTCAACCAGTACAAAGGTATCCTCCTTATCTTCCTTCAACACACCTTGGCTCTGCCAGAATGCAATCTTGCGCCTGAGCGCAGTGCCTGGTACTTGCATGACACTACTTAATTCTTCAATGGTCCATTTGGCTAGAGCGGGTAAAACACAAACATCAAAAACATTACCAATTACTGATTTAGTAATCGGTCAATGACCTAACTTGGATAAAAAAAAACATGCAAGATCCTATAGCTATACTTCTTCAAATCGTTTTAAAATTGAACTTGTAAATATTTTAATACTCAAAAATCTACTGACCCTCAAAAATTGAGATTTTTTAAAAAGAATTACTAGGGCTAGATTCTTGCATATATGTGGCAAAATTAGGAATGCGAGTCAAGCCCAGCTCAAAATTCACTCAGATTGCATTACATGAATTCCAAAGACTAAAATACACAAAAATTGCTATTTAAAATTGAGTACAACACTATTGCCTTTTCTTGCTGTTTAATCCTCATGTTATGAGTGCACCGTTGTATTTAAATAACCACAACATTCAATTTACACTCATTGCACTGTATGTTGTCCCAATGATATGCTACATGACCACCATTAGATCTCTTTCGTTTAATAAGTCTACTGATAATAGTCTATTCACTTTGTCTAAAACACACATTAACAAGACAATTTAAAAGTACAGTGTTAGAGATTAACAAATATTGTTATTACACCTTCAAAAGGAATCACTGTCATGTGTTCCTTATTGCAAGAACAACCAGATAATTTAATTTTGTACACTACAACATTTGGATGAACACTATCTTACCTCTCTCTTGAAAATGAATGATGATAGTAGCATGAATAGGAGACACTGAGAATGACAGTTTTCTATTCTTCAATTCAATATCTAAATTGACCAAACCAATGTTCGTTTTCCAGTTGAGAGTACGGGAGCCTTTGAGAGTCTCATAGCTGGTTCGGTAGGCATCCATAGCATTTTTAATGGCTTCTGGCAACTCCAATTTCTCCTCTTTGAGGTTGGGCCAAAATTGCGCAGACAAAATGAGGGAGTTGTAATCAAGCTCCTAGTAAAAAAAGCAAGGACAAAACGTAACAATTAAATTAACTGATTATAAGATGAAGTGTGTGAGTGCACCATTAGGATCCTTGGTTCACTGTTCCTATTCCATCCAGCTGCTCTCTTTGTAGTAAAGCTAGAAGATATTTTAAGATGTGCGTTTCATTTGTATTTTAAATTATTCTGTAAACTTTCGCAAAAGAATATGAAATAGTGTGTACTTACAGACCATCAACAAATGTATGTATTACACCTTACGGTTAGGCGACTATGATTTTCTTATAAAGATTTAATTTTGTATATTAAGTACTTTCCAATATATTGTCGATTAAACTGATGAACAAATTCATTTAACATGTATATTAAATCAAATACAATAAAATTATTACCTCCTCTTCTTTTCTTTTCTCAATATTTTTGTCATTTTCTTCCATCTCCAGTTGTTTTTCTTTAATATTAGCATTAATTCTCTTAGAGTCTGCCACATCTTTCAGCATTACTTCACAGAAATGAAGCTGAGACTCTCCAAATCTTAACTTGAGCAATTCAAGGTAACGTAACTCTCTAGCGGTATCAAAGTTGAAGGAAGTAAGTATGCGATCAGCTAACAATGTGCGGTATTCACTAACAAACAACTCCCTACTTCCATATATATTGACCAACGTACTAATGATGTCTGAGGATCTTCGACTTTTAGAAGTATTGCCTTAAAAATAATCATATAATTTGATTAGTATGGTGTGCATCAAACCGCACTGCAGTGAACTTTATTGATATTAGCAGCAAAAGCCAACAATTGCTATTAACATTCAAACAATATGTACATCACTCAAAAAACATCTTAAACAAGGAAATTTTTATATGATGAATGAATATCAGATAAAAGTAATTAAATTTATGTGGGGCAATCAAATTTAAAATCAATAGTTGCTTGCGAGATACTGTTTAATTTATGTCAGTGTTTTGTTTTGATTAGAAACTGGGGATAAGCTCCAGCCCTATGAGCCCCAGTGGCTCGGAAAGTATTTAGTTTTTTAGTTTGTTTTGATTATTATATGCCGACAACATATTTTCCATATGAGAACAAGATTGTCACTGTTCACAATTTTGTGAACCACAAGTTGCTAAAATAACGATTTTGGGTGAAATGGCCTGAGATCGTAATAATTTAGTAGGACATCGTAACAGCGTAATCAGGTGCCAAATATTAGAATCATTACGTAAAAATTGTAATAGTTGGCATCTCTGATATAGGTGTAGCAGCAAGGAACACACCCCATTATAATCCTGTGTGTATAATTATGTGGCTAACTCAAGGAGAAAAGCAAAATGTACAGTGAATTAAACTGAATGCAAGAACTTGAGGTTGGGAAACCAGACACATTGGACTGGACTTTAAAATAAGACAAACCATCACAATATCAGTATAAAAAAATACATCCCATAAGAAAGTGTATAACAGTTGCAATAAGAAATCCTCAAGAGCATTTACATCAATACATGTGTGAAGAATGTGTTATGTACATCAGAAGGGAGTATATAATTCAAATAATGGAATGTGTTGGTATGTTAGCACTTGTTTAGCGCTTAGCTGGTTGCTTGTTTAGCGCTTTTCAATGTGGTTGCAGTTACAAAGGGCATATTTTATCCCTAAAATCCTCAAGAGCACTTACATCAATACATGTGTGAAGAATATAATAATAACTTCATTGAACGGTACACTTTTATAACAGTGGCACACACTATCAAGCGTTGACAATAAACATTAAAACACAGTATAGTATAAAAACTTGCAATACATGGAAACACTAAAAACGACTAAAAATGTGATGTAGTCTAGTACAATTATCCGTAAGTAAATTCATTTCGGTTTGTTCAAAAGTGCAGTTTTATTATACTGTACTTTATATAATTGTAATATATGCAGCACTACCTGGATCTGCATCAATAGGATCTGGTTGCCAGTTGCTTGGGTCTTCCTCTTCCTCTTCACTCATGTAACTCTCGTCCATTTGAAGTGGTTCTGCTTTAATCAGTTCTTCAGCTAGATCACTACTACTATCATCAGTTAAACTAGAGACAATGCATCGTACAGTGTCTTCCCGGCTCCTGCAACAAATGTCACATAGAAAATTACTGCTAGCAGTCTTCATGAAAAAGAGCACTGTGAATGTCATGAAGGGGGGGGGGGGTGAGGAGAGAGCGGGTTAGTGTGAACAATACTTTATAAGCATAAGTCAGTAGTTTGTGAATAAACATTTGGTAGTAAAGGTCATATTCTTAGTAATATCTGCTCGATGGACCCAAATAAAATGGGCAACTTTAACCTGTTTTGCACTAGGCGAATTCATTCGCGCGAATCAAAAGTGTTGGTTCCATTCTTGAACTCTGATTGGTATTGCATTTTCTGCTGAAGCAAAAAACTCTGATAGAAATCTGAATATGCATAAATTTGTATACAACATGTATTATGCACAAAAAAGATGATTCACGGCTGATGGGGGAGCGAGTGGACATGTTTGAGGGGCAAGAGTAGAAGACTACTACTAAAATAGTAATCAAAAATCCATTGCAACTCACAACAAGCCAAATAAAAACATTCCTACCTTAAGTATTTTCTAACAGGTTCACATACAATTTCTAACATAACACCTGATTGGTCCAAAACTTTCAAAGAACGTATTGAAGAAATGTATTGGGTCAAAATGTCAGCTGTGTTTACTCCTGTAAAAATAAAAATAGTTTCAATTTTCACATACTATAAAACATCACTACTAAAAAATTACTACAATTCATTCTAAGATAAAAAGGAAATGCGAATAAGAGTACGGAGTACAGGATAAATACGGTTTTGCTATCAAGAAGTAAAGACTACTTATATGTCAAATCTGCTACCACTAAAAACCTATGTTAAATGTAGATATCTAAAACAGAGTTTGAATAAAAGGAAATCAAAAAATGATTTATCACCACTTAAAACTCTACATATCTAAATACAGTAGGACCCTTATTAAGGGGGACAACTTCGGGACCAAAAATGTGTCCCTTTAATAGGGGTGTCCCTCGAATAAGGACTGGCCGTAGTGTTTAAAGATATACTTTCTCTCTTTTGTGGCCGATTTTTTTAACATTTTACATATTGTGCGTTCAAAAGAATTCGTAGGTGTACTGTAATTTCCTACACTATCTTTTTTCAAAAAACGATATCGATAATGATTAATAAATAAAACCACGCCAATCTATTTATTCCTTAATCTGATATAGCTCATACACCGAATGCACTTCAAATTTAAAACACATATTACCAGGATGCAAGAGTCTTGTTTCAAAATCACTCCTCAGAGAACGAATTAAATGTGCTCGTAAATCTGTCTTCTTGAGACACATTTTTAAGTCTTCTAATGCCTTCATGGAGTCCGGAAACTCAACAATGATGTTAAAAAGTTCTTGAATACGTAATTTTGCAAATGTTTGGTAGAGAAAGTACTGTAAGCGGTCTGTCCATTTGGTGACAGTTGTTCCAGCACTTGATGAACTTGTCGAATCACTTTGGCAGATGTTTGTCAGCCATGCAACAACTTTCTCATTCAACCACTGTTGACAAAACCAGAATACATCATTATATTAACAAGCAGGAGCTTTATTTGCATTGCTTTTCTCCACCTAGGGATATGGGTATTTGGTGGTGTTGCCTGCAAATAGAATTTTTATGAATTATGGTTTTCAGAAATCCTTTTAAGGCCCTCCCCTTTTGGAAGCTATTTTTGAACCCCGGTTTACTTTGCTCACAAATGTAACCTCCATAGAAAATCCTACAGCAACATAAAAATTATTAACTTGAGCATAGATGTAAATAATGTGTACCTCATTCTTATACTGAATAATGAGAAAAATAATAAAATCACTTCCAGTAAGTGACAGTAAGTGTTTCTATAAATTTTCTTTGTGGATTATCATTTTTTGAATACAATAGTTTTATGTTCAATATTTTTTATATGAATACAAATGCAAGTAATTTCAAAAATGACTTTTATGACTTTTTTGGCATTATTCAAGTGGCAATACATAGTGTAACTTACAAATGATAACACATGACCACATATATTTTGTATTTACCAGATGAGTTAGTACTGTACAAGTAGTAATGAAACTGACCTCTTCCAGCTTATCCAGGAAACTAACTTCAAACTCGCCTTGGCAACATTGTTTAACATGCTGTTGTATCTTTGTGTGAATTATGCTGGTAATAGCCTCTCCACACACATGCTCTAGCAATCCCAGTGAAAACCTGTAAAACAGTGTTAGACAGTAAAAACTCTATTCAATCATTCACTATTCATTCAATATGAAACATTGTTACTAGTTTCAAGGATGAAACCAGAATATGAGTACAGATAGGCCAGACCAGAGGTGAAGCGTTAAGCAGGATGTGGGTTTGAAAAGTGGGTGAATTTCACAAACCTTATGTGTTAGGCGTGACTTTATTATTCCTTGTTTCACATACTTATTTTTTCAAAGATTATTTGAGGAGGGCGGAATAAAAATAAAATTTTGTTTTCTTATTTAGCAAATAGTTTTGCCAAAATCATCCAGAGGGGGAGAAAATAAAAATAAAATTTTATTGGTGAATGTATTTTAATAGGATGGTTAAATGCTTCAAATTTATATAATTAGGAATAAATATACATATTTTATCTTTGGAGATTTCAAGGCAGTGGAAAGAGTAATAAAAATAAAGAAAAACTTTTTTTTGCTGAAATTTCCACTTTTTCATGGCGGCGGGTGTGCTACTTGGCCAAACATAAAATTTAATTTTTATTTGAAATCATCAATATTTTCAGTCGGCGGGTTCGCTAAACAAGGTATAAAAAAGTCTTGCCCTACGGCAAATACAAAATGAGCAAGTTAAAAACTACTTTTTATAATATTTTGTTATTTTCAGGGGACAGTACATAAAACATTTAAGACAATAAGAGAACGAAAAATTATTACATGCTAGCATTTATAAATACAAACCTAGCATACACCATTGGCATGCTTGTCGAAGGAAGCAATCAAAAATTCTGTATTAAATATGTTGGTAAATGCAATTTACTGTAATATAGTTTGTACTTAGTCTAAACCTTTGTCTACACTTTCAAATTTTAATAGTGACAAAAAAATGTGATGTGCCCATATATGGGTACGATGACGTGTTCAACTCTATGCTCCATCACACTTTAAGTGACACTTAATATTTTGATGAAATTTGATAGTGTAATCAAAGCTTTATAATGAAAATTTAAGTAAACCAGTTTTGAAAATAAGTCTTTATTTTTACAATGTGTATATTTTTATATATTTTTCTATTGATTGTAATGCAAACACTTTTGGCCTTGTGCTTTTGCTTTGTACCTTGTTTTTATAACATAATAAATAAATAAATAAATTTTAAAAAAACTTACAGCTGAGAATTGAGTTGGTCGAAGTATTTTAGAATCTGCTGACAGCAACTGCAATCATTGGAGTTGGTAGAACCATTACAATGCACATCTTTTCCATCATCATTGTCTTCCGCCATTTCATCATGATCAGAATTCTCAAATGCCTTGAATGCTTTAGAGTAGAACTGCCAAACAACACCGCTTCTAAAACTTTGAGGCATGTGATAGAATTGAGTAGCTTTGATCAAGACAATGAAGCGTTCTGTGATACTGTATAGTTTCCTCTGTTTCTCAGCATCACTGTTAAATCCCTCAGAGATGCAATCCACTGTTTGCATCAGTTGAACATAAGGTTGTAAAGACTGATGCAGATTGTTAACTGCAAGCACAAATGCATCATTAGTGCAGGAAATATCTTTCATATCATTATCAAAATATTTCCAGAAACCTGGAGAAAATATGTTTTGAAGATCTTGTCGTAGTTTCTCCAAGAGCCAGTCTTCAACAAGTAGAGAAAATCCATTTTGATAAAGAATCAGCACTGATTGTGACAATGATTTTGTTTCAACCTGTTGTAGAAAGACAAAAAATAAAAGAAAACTTTTAAAATAATTATTTGCTAACTAGGATTTGCCCCAGGAGTCCATACAGTATGTGCAGGAGATAAAATAATTTATACCACTATTAAACTTTACTTATGTATGCCATAAAACAGATCGATCTATCAGGGCCGCCCTGACCAGAAAAACATCCATCCCAACCAATCAAAAGGCTTTAAAAAAAAATTAATTTCCTAAGTATTTTGTTGCCGAGTTAAAACATTCGGCTTTGTTTGTTGACACAAGTAATAGTGTGTGACATCCCACATTGTCGCATGCCCGACATTGACTTATGCAATTTACCGTATCTTTAGCAAACGGAAGTAGAGATACAGTACTGTATCCCAAGTTACGGTGTTACTTAATATCCTGCATTTTGGGTCAACCTGCCTTGCTGTTAGTTTTGAACTTATTAATATCCTGCATTTTGGGTCAACGTGCCTTGCTGTTTGTTTTGAACTTCCATTGTCCAACTGTTGAATGTCTGCAATGCACAAAAGGGCTAAGCCATAAATTATCCTAGCTCTTTAGCTAGGCCCGTGCCCTGCCTAAGTCTTCTTTCAGCAACTAGAGTTCCTGTAGAGGAGTTGCGACATCAGCAATCATATGATTACTGTAAACCCTCAATCTGTTATCTTGGGGCCAAGTCATGACAAACAATCAGTAGTGTGTAACCAACAAAAATTAGGATAAGCTTTGAGATTAAATTCTCGACCTCATGTTATTTAAAATTTTTTTCTTAAAAGACTATTCTACAGTACTTTACATCAATATAATGATTGCAAAAAAAAAAAATTGGAAAATTGTTTCGACCTCTGAATTCGTACTAGACTAGACCTGTAGCTAGTAGTAGAAGTACTGTTTCAAATTTCTGGTTCGTGTAGAGGTCTCAATCTTTGGGTATCTATATAAATTCTGAATGAAAATACAGCATCGCTGTATCGCTTTTTTCTAAAGGAGGACCATACACTAAGGAATCTACCAAGCATTCGTCTCAAGTAAAAATTTAATCTAATACACTTGCATGTTCACTTTCTCATATAAAAATTATGAAAATATCAAAGATTAATATATGTATTAACTTTAATATGTATGTTATTTTTGATTTAATTTATAAGACTACTGTATGTGCCCCGAGTGTTTAAATACCCTAGGAGAGGTAAAGTCTGAGCCACTCTAGGCAGCGATACAAAATGTGTCATCGTGTAGCCTACCACAACGCGTGCAGATAGAGGAGACATTGCGTCTACGCTTAGCTACGCTGTATGCGTGGTGCATGCATGGTCACAAATTCAAGAGAGGCCAACGTACGTACATACGTAAATTGGGAAAAAATTTTATTTTATTAAATTTAGCATCTGAAATTATTTAACCAATTTATGTCATCTGAACTCTAGGTTATTTACATCAATGTGTTCTTTCCATTGAATTAATGTGAAAATATATGGGCTTATGAAGTCAATTGAAGGATAGGGCCCTATAAATTTTTCTGTGCTCCTAGCTAATTAAATAGCATAGCCTATCCTCAGTCTAGCCTTGGCTAGTTCTAGTCCAGGTCTTCATTGAGGCCTACTACAGTGGGCCTGGACCCTACTTAGGCTAGACTAGCTTGGCCCAGGGGCGGGTCCAGAAATGTCCAAAAGGGGGGGGGGCCGAAAGTTGGGGCGACGAAACAACACCATACCAGCTAGCCTAGCTAGCCTAAGCTAGGGGTCCGGGAGAATTCCTCTCGAAATTTTTGTGTTTTTTGTGAAAATAACATTTGAGGCATTCTTGGCTATCATTCTTTCTTTTTCTTTCTTTCTTTTTTTTTTTTACCTCCCAAAAAGGAGGGGGCGGGGCCGGCTAAATAAATCCGTCCCTGAGGCCTAAGCCCTTCCTTTGCTCAATGTTCAGACGTTTGGACCCTGCAGAGTACCCAACAAGTAGAAGTAGGCCTGCCTATACTAGGCCTAGGCCCTAGGCCTAGGTCTTCTAGGCCTAGGACTAGCGACGCTTAAAAACTAACCTTGCGTTCTTCTTTACTGGAACAAAATTGTTCCAAGACATTCCACGAATTATTCACAATATCATAATTCATATTACAGCTTCCTTATACAATAAAAGCACATTGTTATTAGATGCTAGGCTAGGCCTATTTTGGAAAACAGCTAAACACGCGCCACGACGCGGAACCAAAGAGAAAGCGACCGAAGGACCAACCAACCATGCAGCAACCAAAATTCTAGGCTTGACTGTCGCGCAGAGACAGAGGAGCTGCAGCTGAGAGGTGCAGAGCAGGGTTGCCAGATAGTCGACAGGCTTCACGGCCAAACACACGCCATCTCACGGCCAAATTCGGCCAAACTTTTTTTCGATATCGGCCAAAATTCGGCCAGATTTTAATCCGATTAGAAGACAACAGTGGGTACATTCATTTGAAATACTACAAAAATTATACGAAAATCAGCGCTCATTCGTTTGAAATTAAAGAAATTCAAATGATATACACAGAACAATGTTAAAAATAAATAGCCTATGTTCTTTAGTTGCTGGCATGCAGGTCAATTCAGGGGCAAATCCAGAGATGTCCGAAAGGGGAAGGCCGGGGCCGAAGAAAAAGGGGAAGAAGGTGGGGGGGAGGGGGGTGAAAGTGGGTCCGATCGAGATAACACCATCTTAGAGGAATTTTGTCTTTTCTAGACGCCCGAAAATAACCTGATGCATTGGGCGACCAATTTTTATTTTTTTATTTTTACCACCCCTCCCCCTTAAATCCACCACTGCTATTTAAAATCACATTATTAAGATTGATCTAAATTTGATTTAAATGCATTAAATATTAATGTACATTGTAGTCGATCTATAGCAACAATTTTAAGGGCCTGTCATTGGCAAATCCGTGGCTCTCTTTAGAATGAATTAAGTTATATAGTTAGGTAACACTGGCGTTAAAACAAACCTATGAAAATGTTAATAAACACTTTTTATCTAAACTTTCGAGATTCGCCTCTGAATGTTATTGTTGCAGTACTTTAAGCAATAAATCAATGTTGCTATAGTATCAGAATTATCTTCTTCATTCTCATATGCAACCTAAGGAGTGTCTTCGAAGAAGTCTCTGCAAAACTTGCTTGAAATTGGAGGTGCCATCGGACCCGAATGATCACATCGAGCATTATGGCGCTCTACATAAAGAACACTAGGGCTATACAATTCAAGTGGGCAATAATAAACTAATTAAAGTACTGTATTTAATTTATATTCAAAAGAAATTCAAAAGAGATAGAACCTCCAATAGTAAGATGAACATATACAAAGACACACAATATGGTACAAACAATGAACTGTCTTCATAAAGCTTAAACGAGGATAAACTTTATCAATATATTTCATCCGAACCATTTAAATTATTAAATGTAACTGTTATCTTTTAAATAAACTCTCTTACGTCAAATCGGCTGAATCGGGGAATATAGATTAAGTGTTTAGTGCAAGTACAAACAAAGGTACACGATTAGAATCAAATATAGAATTTAAGCAAACAAAAACAAAATATCCAAAACAAGTCTACGTTATATTAGACCTATATTGAACAAAATGTAAACTTTTCAAAAATTCGGCCAAATTCGGCCAAATATAGTTTGGCCGTTACTTTCCAAATGCTACGGCCAGGCAAATTTTTATACGGCCAGATTTGAGGAATCTGGCCGTCAAAAAGACCAAATGGCAACCCTGGTGCAGAGAGCTAATAAGCAGGGTTGCCAGCAGATAGTCGTCGACATGCTTCTCACGGCCAAACACACGCCATCTTACGGCCAAACTTTTTTTCGATATCGGCCAAAATTCGGCCAGTAGATTTTGAACGGATTAGTTTAAAATAGTGGGTAATTCTTCATGTCAGTTAAAATTTTTTTTAATGACACGACTAACACGGCGGCCATTAGTTGAAATTGAAGAAATCAAAATCATATACTGTACAGAGAACTGTTTCACTGTTTTTGTTTGTTCTTATAATTAATTTACTACCCAAATCAAATGCCCAGCTACATTATTATTATGCCTATTAATGTTCTTTAATTAGTTGCAATCATGTAGACCTATTTCAAATCACAATATAAAGATTGATCTCAGTGCTAGCACATACCTATTGAAGATTAAAGGGGTTTTTTTTTTAAATATTGAATAACGTACATTGTAGTCGATCACTTTATAACAAAAATGTAAATGAGTCACCTGTTATCGAATCTGTGACTCTCTAATTAGAGTGAAAATTACATTAGTTACATAAACTGGTGTTAATACAAAGCTATGAAAACTTTAATAAATACTTTATTTATCCGTCTTTTATCTAAATTCACCTCTGAAAAAGTTACTTTTGCAGTACTTCAAACAATATATAATGTCGCTATTAGAATCATAGGCTTTTATAGATATCGAGTTAAACAACTTCTCCAGGGTAACTTTGAATAAGTTTCTATCACTTTCCTTGAAATTGAAGGTGCGATCGGACCCGACGAATCATCGCATCGGTGATTTATAATGGCGCTTTACATAAAAAGCACAGCGCCTACTGTAACTTTAACAATTAAGTGATATATATAATAAATTAAATTATGTTTTATTGTATTCAATCAGAGGTGGCGCCAGGATTTGCCCGATAAGACAAGGGGTCCGAGGTGTGGGAGGGGATGATTTAAACTATTATAGGATATATATATATATATATATATATATATATATATATATATATATATATATATCTGATTGTTTAT